CCCTGGTCTTAGCTGATGTAAGATCAACTTAGTTGATCTAAGATCTCCGTCAGTCTCTCTTGGTTAAGATCTTTGTTCAGCTAATTCTGTCTATAAATGTACTTTTTGGCTCATTTTCACTTCTTTTTTTTTTTTCTTTTTGGTACCAGGGATTGAACTCAGGACCTTGCACTTGTGAGGCAGGTGGCGGAACCACTGAGCTAAATCCCCGGCCCTCATTTTTACTTCTATCATTCTCCTCCTCTTCCAATTGCCACTGCATGATCATGATATAAATTTTAGGGATACATTCCTTTCACACACCATTATTTATGCTTTGGTCATTTATTTGCCCCAACAAATATCAACAGTTTCTGTTATGTGCCTTGCACTGATTTGGGGGGCTAATATAGCAAGCCAAACTGGTTTACAAATAAGAACTACAGGGGAAAATAAAGCAAGGGAAGAGAATCAGGAATTTAATTGTACGAGTTCTCAGCACTGACTGGTAGGAGAGATCACAGACAAGGTGATGTTTTTGTAAAGACTTGGAGGAGCTACAGGACTATTCTAGTGCCTTGCAGAGGAATGCTCCAGGCATCAGAGACAGCACATGCAAAGGCCCTGGGGTGAGAGAACAAGAAGGAGCTCAGAATGAGCAGGAAAGTGGTAGGAGGTACAGGCTTGGGAGGGCATTGCCAGCCTTGGGGTCACAGTCCAGACTGCGGCTTGCTGTCTGGGTGAGAAGCAGCTGCAGTGAGGTTCTGGGGAGAGGAGTCAGAGGGTCAGAGACCACTGTACTGAGTGAGCAGCCCTGGCTGGTGTGAGGGCTGCAGTGTGAAGCAGAGTTGCTCTCAGTACGCACTGCATGGGGTGTGTTCTTCCTGCTCGTGGTTAGAGCACATGAAACAGCATTTATTTCCTGATCCAAACCAAACTGAGCCAACTCTTTCTTTTCCCCAGGAAAAAAAAATGATACAGTCACACTGCCGTGAAGCCTGTATGACTTTTAAAGATTTGAGATAGGGGAAAAACTCAACAAACCATCCTTTGCACTCTTGCCTTAAACTATTCATATACTTTTACTGTCGTTTTGGCTTATGGCAAGTATACATTAAAGGGAGAGAACAGAAACGAAAACTGCCCGCAATATGCTAGGGTACAGCACTACCACTTGCTAGTTACTGTTGAAAAAAAATTTAAATATAATGCAAACAAACATGTGCCTTTTGCTACCACAATCACATCAATTTGATCACATATCAAATTTAGTAGGCTGGAACATAACCAAAGATGTAAATAAAATAGTGTCTGTATGTTGTCAGATGGTTTGGCAAGTTGAAAAAGGGATTGAATCCAAGCAGGTGGCAAGAAATAGCTTGGGAATTTTCTCTAATCTTAATTGCTAATGTAGTTACTGGAATCCTAGGGAAATTTCCAGACGGAAATCTAGTTTTCATAGTCCTCAACCATTAACTATTTTATTAGTTCCCTGGTCTGAAATTAAAGATTATGATAAGTGGATGCATTTAGAACAAGATAATAAATCTATTTTTCTAAATTATACATTGTTTTAATTACACTATCAAAATTTAGAGGACATTATCACAGATTTTACAGAATTTAAAAGGATATAGAAAGCATATTACAAAAATCTGTTTTGAAATAAATTTGACAACTTCTAAGAAGTACCTTGGAAGACAAATTAATGAAACTGACTGTGGAGGAAATATAAAATTTGAATTGCACCTATTAAAGAAAGTATGTTCTTAGCTTGAAAACCTACCTAAATGACAACAACAGGCTCATATACATTTTAACTGATAAATTATACCAAACATTTAAAGCAGAAAAAAGAAGGAACACTTCTCCCCTCATTTTAGGAAATCAACATTGTGCTAATACTAAAACTGGATAAAGATAATGGAAGAGAAAAGTATGAACATAAATAAAAATTTGTTTAACAAAACAAACTATTAGAAGTCAGATCGGGCAGGATGTAGAAAGTGGTTTTCTTATAGGGATGGCACTGTTGGTTCAGCATGGGAAGATCCAACCCCATAAGTCATCATTTTAACAGAGGAAAGGAAAAGGCCATATGATGGTGTCAGTAGTTGGAGAAAAAGTATTGGACTAAGTTCTACAGCTGTTCATGGTAAAAGCTATCAGGAGACTAGAAGTAGAATAGAACCTTCTCAACAGATTATTAAAGACATGTACTCCATACTTCCAGTGAGAACGCCTTATATGATTGGAAAAGATTCAATGCTTCCTCCCTAAGGTGGGGAACAAGGACAGATATGCCTACTCTTCACCTGTCCATTAAACTTTGAAACATAGGCCCAAACCAAAATAGTCAGTCAATAAAAAGAAACAATTAGCGTAGGATTGACAAGGTAGAAATAAAATCTTTATATGTAAATGAAATGATCATCTACAGAGAAAATACTAATAGGGCCAGGGATTTAGCTCAGTGGTTTTGCTGCCTGCTGTGCAAGCACAAGGACCTGAGTTCGATCCCTGGTACAAAAAAGAAAATACTAATAAATCTTTAGGAGCCCCTAGAACTTGTATTTGAATTTAGCAGGATTAGAAAACACAAGGTATATATAAAAATCCAGGTCTATGTATACTGGCTATAAATGGAGCATTGGATTTTGAAATTTGAAATTTATTTAGGAGTACAAAGGACCTAGAAAAGTAAAAAGAAAAATAAACAGTGTTGGAAGACATTTATCACCTAATTTTAAGACTTCCTCTAAAGCTACAGTAATCAAGGCAGTGTTGCCGTAAGGAAAGACATACAGATCAATGGAATAAAACAGAGAATCTAGAAATAGAACCACACACATATGGTCCACTGAGTTTTGAAAGATTATTTAACATTAACATTTTATAGAACATAAACTCAACTCAAGAGCAGAGGAAAAGATAGTGTTTTCAGCAAGTGGTACTAGAACACCTGTTATTGGTATATAAAAAATTAACCTCAACCCTTTATTTCCATACATAAAAATAACTTGAAAGGATCTATGAACCGAAATATGAAAGACTAAAACTATAAAACTTTAAGAAGAAATTATAGGGGAAAATGTTCATGAATTTAGGGTAGGCAATAATTTTCTAGGATACAAAAAACATGATGTATAAAAGACAAATTGATAAATGAGATTCCATCAGGATTTAGAACTTTAAGTGACATAGTTAAGAAAATGAAAAGTAGTCCTTAACCAGAACATATTTATAATACATATAACCTATGACCAGAATATATAAAGAACTCTTACAGCTCATTAATAGACAACCCAATTAAAAACTAGACACAAGAAGATGATAAATAGCCAGTACAGCACAAGGAAAGGTGTTCAATGCTAGAATCAGAAAAATACTAATCAGTACAATAACAAGATCATATTATACACTCATTAGGGATATAAAGTTAGAAGTTTTAAAAGAACAAATGTCAGTTTAGGTGTGAACCAGTTAGAACTGTCTGATACAGCTAATGTGAATGTAAAATGATAAAACCATTTTGGAAAACAATATAGAAATTTCTTGTATTACTGTTCAGAACCAACAGTTCTGTTCTTAAGTTTTTACTTAAGAGGACTGAAAACAAATGTTCACAATAAATTTGTACATACAAGTTGACTACCCCTTATCTGAAATTCTTGGGACCAGAAGTGTTTCAGATTTTGGTTTGAAATCCACTTGATCTGCAAAGAGGATAGTTACTCCTGCTTTTTTTCATCATGACTTTTTTGTTGTTGTTGGATTCTCCCCCTTTGCATTTAATTTCTTGTCGTGCCCAGTGGATTCATTCTGCTGGGCTTCTTGGGGTTGTGTTCCTCACTGTCTTTTCCTAGCATATTGTCTAAAATTTTGTGGAGTACTGGTTTGGTATTCATGAAGTTCTTAAGGTGCTCTTTGGCATGAAAGTATCTTATTTCTCCATCAATTTTGAAAGACAGTTTTGCAGGGTACATCAATCTGGGTTGGAGGCTGTTTTCCTTTAGGGCTTGAAGTACATCACTCCAAGCTCTTCTTGCCTTGAGGGTTTGCATTAAGAAGTCTGCTGTGATTCTGATGGGATTTCCTTTGTATGTGATTTGTTTCTTTTCTCTCACTGCTTGTAGAATTTTGTTCTTCTGTTGGGTTTCTGGAATCCTAACAATTATATGCCTATGTGTAGATTTTTTTTGATCAAGGCTATTTGGAGTCCTATATGCCTCACTTATCTGTATGTCAAGTTCTTTTCTCCTACTTGGGAAGTTTTCTGCCATCACTTCTGTGAACAGGTTTTTTATGTCATCTCCACTCTCTCCTGTTTCTTCATTGACTCCAATCCGTCTCATGTTATTCTTCTTTGCATCGTCTAGCAGCTGCTGGATTGATTTCTCATGGTCCCTTATAATTTTAAAGCAATTTTTCTTTCCCTGGTCACTAATTGCAATCTTATCATCTGTATCTGAAATTCTGTCCTCACTTTGGTACCTTCTGCTGTGTAAGCTTTCAATGGAGTTTTTAATCTCCTGGAAATCTGTTTGCATCTGTTTTATGGATTCCATTTGTTTCCTATGTTGGGACTCCATCATATTCCTCAGCTCCTCTATTTTTTTTTATCTCTATCCTCTCTAGCTTTATTAATCACGTCTTGCACTATGGGCACAATCTCTGTTGTTATCTAATAAATTATTTCTGATTTCATTTTTTCCCGATCCTCTTTTGTTGCCAGTTCAGGGAGTCCAGGTGGTTGAGTATCACAGTATTCTGTCTCATGTCCCTTTGGAGTTGCTTTAGGTGATCTGGAAGTCTGGTTTTGTGACTTGTTTACATGTCTTCTCATTTTGACGGGGAGGGGGGGTTGTTGCTGGTGCCCACATGGCTCACCTCCTCTGTGCTGGGAGCTGGGAGCAGGGGTAGGTTGGCCCAGAAGCCTCCTACTCTGCACTGGGACCTGTGGAACGTTGACGCGGAAGCCTCCTCTGTGCTGGGAGCTGTAGCACGTCGACCGTTAAATCTATTTTTTTTCTTTCAGTGCTGGGGCTTGAACTCAGGGCCTTATGCATGCTAGGTAATTGCTTTCCCACTGAGCCAGCCCCCCAGCCCCCCATGTGCTTATACATTAAAAACTGAACTTTAAGTATTTAATTTGAAGGGCTGGGGATTTACCTCAGTGGTTCTGTCACCTGCCTCACAAGTGCAAGGTCCCGAGTTCAATCCCCAATACCAAATATAAAAGTATTTAACTTGAAGTGAGGATTAAATACACGTAAAGAACCATCTCAAATTATATAATAAGGATTTCCTTTTTGGGTTGTGCTACCCTGCTAGAGACTAAAGCCTCCTGAAAGTACTTTTATCCAGCAAGAAAGTGTGATGAGACCTGAATTGGTGTTGCCTTTTCAATATTCTGTTTTTTCTCTGCTCCAGTCTCTCCAAAACTCAAGGTGTGCCTGAATTACGGAACACTTTGGTCATCAAGCGTGTCCACAAGATCCGGGCATCCTTGGCCACCCAGGAGCTGGCCTTCTGGAAGTGAGTGCTTCTGTGAGCTTTCATCACTGTGGCCATAGCTCATGGGTCCTCTCCCTGGCATGTTGGGCATTGGCTTTCATGTATAAGGGACGATGCCATAGCTCTACCTTTTACCAAGTGCCATCCACATAAAGGGAAGCACCTAGCTTAGATTCATTCCCACTCTGTGCCTTTTAGGCAGGTCGCTGTCACTGTCTTATTGATAGTTCCTGGCAGAGATTCTCTTTGCTTCCAGATGGACAGAACAGATACTCCAGGATCCACCATTCGTTACATTTACAAGTTCAGTTTTCCAAAGAAACTCTTCATTTCACTGACAGTGTGAGCCATCTTCTTGTTAATGCTCAGACTGCCCCACTGAAGCAAGTGCTAAGGGAAATGAAAATGCTAATGAACTGCTGACTGCAGTGCCCGTCACTCACTGTAGTGAGGTCTCCTTCCACCCACAGACTGTCCTGGGTTCTTTTTATGGCTTCAGAATCATCTGTTCTAACCTGCTCCCGCTGCTCTTTAGAATACAGACGTTAATTACCTTTAACATGTCCTTGCTCCTGGCTCACAGTCTCAGATGACCCCAAGCAGCCCTTAGCTTCTCAACACTCAAACCTTCTCTCTGTCTCAGGGCTTGGGAATCTTCTCTGTCCAGGGAGAGGCGTGTTTGGAAGGACACTGCTCAGCCCGTTAGGAAAGAAACCACCCTCATCTCTCTGTTGCTAGTGCCGAGTGAGGCCGGCTTCCTCCTCTGAGTTGAGGGTGGAAATCTGAACCCTGAACAACTCCAGCATCTCCACAGCAGGATGGGTTTAAACACGTCCCTCTTAACCCTGCCCAGTCTTAACTCCAGCCCGCGCTTCCTTTGGAAGCTGCACTTTGCCTGCTCAAGGTTCCCGATGTTCACACTCCTCATCCCCAGAGGGAATGACATCCAGCAATAAAGGGCTTTATTGTAGTTTCTTTTCTTTTCTTTTTTTCTTTTTTTTTTGGTACCGGGGATCAAACTCAGGTCCTTGTGCTTGTGAGGCAGGTGCCGGAACCACTGAGCTAAATCCCCGGCCCTATTGTAGTTTATTTTCATTTCTGGGTTCTACTATCTTTTTTTCTCAGACTACAAATTCCCCAGGGGATCCTAACATCTGCAATTATTACTGATTTGTCAGCTGTCCCCCTACCCCGTCCTCCCCTCCCCTGTTTCCAATTTAAGGCTTCAGCAAATTGCTATTATAACAAATGAAATATAGCTTCTTTCCAGAGGACGAAAACCTCATTTTCAGTGGCTGCTGAGGATGACTCAGTGCTACTCTGTAAAACAACACATTTTAATAGAAATGAAGTATTTGCTCTCTGATCAAGTCTGATAGAACTTCTAGCTGTTATTCCTCATATTTCAAAAAGCTGCAGAGGCAAAAGTGTCTTGCAGTGGAAAAGAATGTGCTTCTGTGTCACTGAGAGAGTTATTGGACCTCTTTTTATTTTATTCACTCCTGGTAGTTGATAACTGAGCTAAAAAGAACGTAAGTCAGAAAGCAGGGGAAAAATGAAGGCAGCACAGTGCCAGACAAAAACATATTCTCAACAAATGTTTGCTGAATTAATAAATGAAAAGGCGAAATGGAACCCTGAACACTTGAAAACAGGCTTCCAACGGGCGGGATCTCAAAAAATCTAGGATCAAATTCCATTGCAAACACTCAGACCACTCCATTTTGAGACCAAGTATGTTCTTTTGTCATGGGGAAAAAATGTGTTTCTTCTTTGATTAAATTCTGGAGGGTGAAAAGCAAAAAATAAGATGAACTTCAAGAGGAGATGAATAAGATAAAGGACAGAACATGGAGACAGGACCAAACAGGCATCGGCTATTAAAAATAAGTGTCAGGACCTTATAGGTTTCCTCACTTTTCATTTCTGATTTTTTCTTTTTATTCCCTTTCCTTCTAAACTCACAGTTCCAAAGGGAGGTTGAGGAGCAGTTTGCAAATGTGTTAAGTAAGACAACACCAGGTGGCAAATAGCAACTTAATTCTCCTTGGCAACACTGCTAAAGACTCGAGCAGTTTGTATAAAGCTGGAGTGAGGAGAGTGGATGGAAAAGGCCATTGAGTCTGTGTGGTGATGAAGGCCACACAGCGATTGTTTGGACTCTTACAAGAAGTTCTTTTAATGCACGCATTAATTCTCCAAGTCTCCTCGCCGACTGCAAGAAAATTGGTTGTACAAGCACTGAAGACATTTCCTCTGAAGCAAATATTTGCACAGGAGCACAGATGTAGACACTGTGGCTTTGCATTTCCATGAGTGGGCCGATGCCTCCTGGGGATGGACGTGCGGGAGGCAGGCCTTGCCATTTCCACTGGAAGGACCTGGGGCCAGAGGAGCTTGCTGCTGAGAAAATGCCTATCATATACAGGTGCACATTCCCTTTGATGAGTGTTATCATCATGCATATCTAAAGTGTACCAATAATTTTGCTTCAAAAAAAAAAGAAAGAAAATGCATGGGGGGATGGGCCTTGCCTGGTAGACTTGAAGCCCTGGGTTCCATCCCCAACACTGCAAAGAAGTAGAAAAAGAGAAAGTTGTTAAAGATGTGATAAAGAGTCTGCTTCTTTCATGCATTTATATGTTATTTGGGTTTTATCTAGTGGAGAAAATGGATTTGGGGCAACCCTCAAAACAAGATAACATTAAGTATCTGTCACTGAAGATGAATCAGAAGACCCAGCTAGTGATACTGTCATTATTTCAGCTCCTAGAGCCTTTAAGATCTTCAACCCCGTTGGGGATTTAGCTCGGTGGTGCCGCCGCCTGCCTCACAAACGCAAGGTCCCGAATTTGATCCCTGGTACCAAAAACAAAAAAAGATCTTCAGCCCTGTTTCAGGGACAGAGGCTTCTGAGGCCTTACCTGGTTCACACCTTCTACCCAACTGGAATCATATCCCCTTCCCTTCCCCTGCTTCCCCGCCCTCCCTCCTGCTCTCTCCTCTATTTTTTTTTTTTTTTTTGGTTAGAGATCAGTAGAGGACTGGATTGATGCAGGTAGAAAAGTGGGGTTTTTTTCCTTCCAAGGGAACTAAATATAAAGAGAGGAGGTGAACGTGCCATGGAGGTGGATTATGTAGGGCTTGGAAAGTGGGTGCCTGGGCTCTGCCTGACCAGACCCTCTGTCATGGACCGGACCATCAGGGTGGTCTTCGGACGAACGCAGAAACGCCAGCTGGGCCTTGGGCTGCCCCCCTGCCCTGTCAAAGATGGGGCTGTAGAGCTCCGTTACAGGAGGCACCCGAGGTCCTGGAGAACCTGCCCAGACTCGGCCTCCGCCTCCTGGTGTCTTCGTGTGCAGCCAGCCTTGTAGGGATACGGGCTGAACAATAAATAATAACAAGAACTGCTAGCATCTGCTGAACATTTACTCTGTCCCACACGTGGCATTCAATGTTAACACACATTTTTATTCCTGTAGTGGGGATGGAACCCAGGCCCTCACATGAGCCCGGCAAGTGCCCTACCACTGAGCCACACCCCAGCCCACATTATCTTATTTAAACCCCAAATAATACCCAGGTACAAACGCTACTACTGTCCTGCCCTGCACATGAGAGGGTGGGATGGGAAGGGATAGCCAGGCCTGAGCTCTATCTAGAGACAAAAATACAGGAACCAAGGATCCACTAGGCGTATTATGTCTATTTTCTTATTAAATCCAAAGCCCAATCTGAACACATCTGATCTGAAATCTTAAGGCCACTTTGAAGACCATCAACGTGTTCTTCTCTTCTTCATTATGCTCTAATTTTGAAGTTTGTTTTCACAGCTGGCTGGATTTGTCATGAGATGCGATCTCACCATCCGATCAGCATCTAAACACACTTTGGCTGATCTGAAAAGAACCGGCAGTTTCAAGTGTGCCCTCCTCATTGAGTCTGACCATCTGAGTGCGGCGTGGGAACCCGGCAGCCAGCCTGGGCGGCAGTGTGTTTTTAAAAGTAGCTCTTCAGCCTTGCAAGGATTCTGTTTCCAGGGTGTACACTGTGAATCACAGTTTCAAAGGACGACGACAAATACAAATCCCAGCCAAGCAATTTGTAAGGCTAGGTTCCTGACAGAAATCCAGGAAGCAGCGGAGAAACAACCAGATGCAAAAACACAGTCAAGAGGTTGGATCTGTGGCAGGGAGGCCCAGGATAGAGCAGAGGCTCGCAGAGGAAAAGCCAGGCCTGGGCGCTGGGCCTGCCCAGGGGGAGCAGGCATCTCGGTGGGCTCCTCGCAGGTGGCCTGCTGTAGGGACAGGGGATTGGGGGTTTCCCCAACTCAGTTCATGTGCTTTGTTGCTTCCATTAACCCAGTCGATACAAATCACCCTACACCATTGATGGCTATACATGTCCTCCCCTGTTTTATCTCATTAACAGTAGTAATAACTGGCCCTTACTGAGATTCTACCTTGAACTTGCAGCCAGGCCCCTCCTTGAATGTGAGCTCATGAGGCAGGGGGTTCTATAACCTGTTCTGCTCACTGACGCATACACAGCACCCACATGAGACTCCAGCATGTAGGAGATGCTCTTCAAAGTGTGGAGAGCACGTGAGGCAGGGATAAGTGCTTGCTGGCACTTTGCAGGGAAATAGTGTGTGTTGCATTGATTCATTTACTCTTCATCATGAGCCTATGAGGTAGGCGTTTATTATTATTCCTGCTTTACAGATGAGCAAACTGAGTCCCAGCAAAGTTGATGAGCTTGTCTGAGGTCACAGGGATGACAGGGCAGAGGCAGAACTGAACCGAGCAGTCTGGCTCCGGAATCCACTTCTCCAAAGGTGGCCCTTTTCATGCGACTTTTTTCCTTGGTCATCTGCCTTTAATTTCCTATCACACCCTTCTCAGAGATCCATTGATTTTGCATTAAAGCCCTCTTTCTATGCAAAAGAAAACCATCATTTCGCTCTTTTTAGAGCACACATTACTCAATATTCTTATTGCTTGTGAAAAGGGCCTTGAATTAGTTTGGATGCAGAAAAAAAGCAAAGCATAGAGAATGAAAATACTCCCTGAAGGAGAAGGCTTAGTTTACATTTTCTTTTAAGACATAAGTGATTATGTCTTATTCCATAAGCAAGTGTGATATTTTTCATAAAAATGTGTTTATGCACAAGGTTTCTCCATTCTACAATATAGAAATCATTTTTAAGAATTAGATAATATGAGGCGATATTGTCCAAGCCATAAAATTATGAGTATACTTTTAATCCTTAATTTTTATATAGTTTTATCTTTTTAAAATGATCAGCTAGATGTGCATGATGCTGTGTTAGAGAAATGCAGGCTGAATGATAAAGACCTGGATAAGAGAATATTATTTTACTACAACTTGCAGCCTGTACCACACTATCATTTGTTTTACAATATTGCTTACAAATTGGATGCATTTAAGATTACTTGCTCAGGCAAAGCAAGATTAAGAATAAATTTTACTGCTGTTTTCTGTTGAGTTCGGTTAAGCATGTTTTTCTTTCTTTCTTTTTTTTTTGGTACTGGGGATTGAACTTGGGACCTTGTGCTTTCGAGGCAGGCGCCAGAACCACTGAGCTAAATCCCCAGCTTAGGCATGTTTTTCAGCTCGTTGCTGAAGGCCCAATTCATGGACAACACTGGAGCCTCCTTCTCCCCTACGTGCATTTTCACATATGGGTACGTGGCCAGTGACCTAAAAATAAGATTACTGAAGGGCTTGTTTCTGTCCAAACTGGAAGTATAAAAGGATAATAAATCCTGTTGGGGTATAAAGTGAAATGCTTACAATCAAAACAGTACAAGCCGGGTGTGGTGGCGCATGCACTTGGGAGGCTGAGACAGAAGGATCACCCCAAATCGAAGGCCAGCCTGGGCTGCATAGTGAGTTCAAGGCTAGGGTGAACTACAAAGTGAGACCCTGTCTCAAAAAAATAAATAAATAAATAAACAAAATCAAAGAAATAAAATAGTTCTGTGAGTTTTACTAAACCTACTTTTGAAATTAAAAAACAAAGAATAAAACAATATTGGGGCTTCCGTCCTATGTGGTAAAGCTACAGTCATCTTCGAACCCCAATGCCTGCCGGGTTGGTAAAAATCATACTCCACCTTCTACCACGCCCACTGACTGGTCAGTCCTTCCTTGTGCACTTAGATGACGGTCGGTCGTAGGAGGCAGTGAAACTCTGCCGACAAGATGACCACCTTCATGTTTGGAGTCTTCTGGCTGTAATCCAGTGATGCCTGGAAGAGAGGGAGAACAAAGCATTAAACCCAATCCTTTATAGTAGCAATTTTTGTAAGTTACACCAATTCCTCATAGAAAATGCTTCATGTTAGAGCCATAAACTCTTAGGAGTCATCTCAGACAATGCCCTGGGTAATTCAGGAAGTTGTATATTTGTAAATGTATTGCTGACTTACATTAGTAGAAAACCAGAGTTACAAACACATTTTCAAGTTCTTTAAAAAACAGTCTCTTTTCTATTTAAAATGTTGTGTGATTAACATGGAAAATACAGCAATATAATTTGTGTCTCTCTCAAATTCAGCCAAGTTGGTGACGACAATCCTGCGAAATCAGACGAAGTCCCCTTTGGTGACCACTACATTTGACTCCAGGCCTCTCAGACCTGGCAAAGGTGAGATCTGACTCAGACCTGAATGTGTGGAAACACCATCTCCCACAGCCCACTGCTGCCCTACACGACGCTAGTATAGAGGGATCTTTCCCAGGGAAAGCTGTTCAGCTCCTGCTTAAAATTTTCAAACAATGATCATGAAGTCTGGCTCTGTTTATGTCTAACTGTAGGAGTTTCTAACTGCCACTTGGTAGTTTCTATTTGCAGCTGTAGAAGGTTCTTCTTTTGTAAATGTAGATACTTCTTTTCTTTATCTTCTATTTCCTTCCTTTCTTTCTTTCATTTCTTCTTTCTTTCTTTTTCTTTCCTTCCTTTCTCCCTCCCTCCCTCCCTTCCTTCCTTCTTTTGTTGTTGTTGCTGGAAATCAAACTCACAATGTTGTGTGTGCTAGGCCAGTGCTCTACCACAGAGTTACATCCTCAGCACTTAGATGTTTCTTAACAGTAACAACAACAATAAAAATATATTTCCTTTTAAATTTTCCTAAATTTTGGTTCTATTACGTTTTCTGGTTAAAATACTACTTTTTGATCTTTGATTTATTGAATATTCCTTTGATTGGGTCTAAGGATATATGAGTACATGTAGTGGCCCTTTCCAATCCAGATCTCTACATCTTTAATTTTTAGGGGGAAGGGAGTGTTCCTCTTCTGCATTTCCCCAATTAACTTGCCAAATTATCTCCTGCTTTAAAGAACATTCCCAAATCTCTACTGAGATACAGCCTCTGTGATATTTTGGTCTACACACGGTGGTCAGTTCCACATGGCCTTCCCAGTGGTGGACCCCTGTCCCCAACAGCACATCTTCTCTATTCTAATATTGGTCTCTTCCCTATGGTCTTTCAGCTTTGCTTGTTTAGGGGAATCATTTTTGATCATTAAACATTAAATACCTCCAGAGTGAGGGCTACAGTTCAGTGGTCAAGCACTTGCCTAGCATGTATAAAACCTTGGGTTTAGCCCCCAGCTCCATCAAAAAAATAAAAATAACAACATCAACAAAAAGCCCTCCATATTGGGGGTGGTGGGACACACCTGTAATCCCAGCTTTCTGAGAGGTTGAGGCAGGAGGATCACAGGTTCAAGTCCAACCTGGGCAACTTAGTGAGACCCTATTTAAAAAAGAAAGAAAGAAGAAAAAAAGCTGGGGCCATAGCTCAGCCCAAAGGCCTAGGTTCAATTGACAGAACTGCAAAATGAACAACAACAACAATAACAAACAAACCTTCCAAATGTTTATGACCTCAATAGTAAATATTTCACAACACCGTAATTCACGTTTGAGCTGACTGAAGTAATTTAGTTAAGCCCTAAAAGAAGACTTGTGGTGATATAATGGTAATACTAGTTATTTATTTTCTGAAACTCCTGGGAAAATGTATTTATGTGGTTACATTTAATAGATACTGTACTTTACAAATGCATAATATAAAATGTTGGCATCAACATTATCACTCATAATGATGATAAAAGTTAAGGACATGATTCCATTTTATGCAGGCTGTTAATTCTATACAGGTATCTTAGTTACTTTTCTGTTTGCTGAGAGAAAATACCTGACACCCAAAGTTAAAGGAGGAAAGGTTTATTTGGCTCACAGTTTGCAGAGGTTTCAGTCCATAGTCAGCTGGTCCCAAGGCAGGGCAGCATGGCCAAGGGGTGTCACAGAGGAAAAGCAGTCCTTGGCAGGGCAAGCAGGAAGCAGTGAGCCTCCCCTCCCTTTTTCCCATCTAGGCTACAAGCCTTTGGGGTGGTGCCACCCACACCCAGGATGGGGTTTCTCTCTTTAATAAATCCATCCAGGCACACACAGAGCTATGCTAATTCCAATCAGTGGGCTAATTTAGTACTGCACACCCTTAATTCCAATATCACATACCCTTAATCCAGCCAGCTCCCAAAAGTCCCACTTATAGTGCAATTTAGAAGAGGGAAAAGGGTGTGGTGGTACACACCTGTAATCCCAATTCTCTGATAGGCTGAGGTAAGAGGGTTGCAAATTCAAGCATGGCCTGAGCAATGTGAGATTTAGCAAGACTCTGTCTCAAAAAATAAAAAACCTTGGGAAAACAGCTCAGTGTGAAGCCCATGGGTTCAATCCCCAATACCAATCAATCAATCAATCAACCAGTCAGTTTTTGTTATTGTTTTTTTAAAGAAGAAAGGTTTATCCTGGCTCACGGTTTCAGAGGTTTCAGTCCATGGTTAGCTGGCTCCATTTCTTTAGGCCAGTATTGAGGCAGAACAAGATGGCAGAGGGCATGGCAGAGGCAAAGTGATCACCTCAGGGCAGGCAGGAGGCAGAGAAGGCGAGGGTCAGGAAGGAAGGTCAGGTCCCTGTGCCCAGTTCCCTCCCACTAGGCCCCCTCCTAAGTCTCCACCTCCCAATCATGCCGTCAATCTCATCGATGGATTAACCATATCCATGGATTAGTTGAAGTTAGAGTTCTCCTGATCTAATCACTGCTCCCAAATCCCCACCTCTGAACACAGGAAATTTTAGATCTAGACCATAATAGCCACCAAGGTGACTGATCTACTTAAAAGCCCACGTGGTGCAGCCCATCACGCCGTGGCCGCAAACTTCCTCTGTCCACGTCACAGTGAGATCCAGGCCAAACTCCTGCTGGTGGTGCACAGAACATGCTGGGGTGTGGCCTCGGCCTCCCACGCTCGTTTCTCTCCACACCTGCAGAGACAGGCATGGAGAGGCGTGGCCCCCATCTGTGGGGTGCACCTCACCCCGCCTGGCTGTACCTCACCCCGCCTGGCTGTGGCTGTTGAAGCAGGTAGGTTTCTAACCCTATCTTCTCACCCAGGAAGGTGCTGTTAGTTCAGGAGACAGCAAGCCCCTGTCAGCCCAGAGCTGCCCTTGGAGGAACTTGGACCCTTGGGGAGCCCATGCTCTCTGTGGGAGCTGTTTGCAAAGAGAGGAATGAAAAGAGGGGGAGAGGCCACTCCTACAACCATTTAAGAAACAGGAAATTCTAATCTCCCACAATCCTCTTTTCTGGAGAAAAGAAGCTAGAACTCTCTCTCCCTCTAATTAATTTATTGAGGTTAGTATGATCTTGATAGCAGAACTAGAAAGAACAGCACGACAGGAAAACTGCTGGTCAATCTCACCCTACGTGGATGCAAAACTCCTACACCAGGTAGGAGCAAGTTCATCGTGACCAAGTTGATTTTACTCTAAGGTTGTTTTAGCATTAAAAAGGAGATGAATGCATTTGCTCCATTAAGAGAGTAAAGGACAGAAAGTATAGGGTCATCTGCACAGATGTGAACAATGCATTTGTAAAATTCAACATCCATCCAGGGCAAAAATACTTAGCAAACTGGGAATAGTAAGGAACTTCTTTCTAGAGAAAACTTAGTTTCTAATATTTAAAGGTTTAAAATATTTCTTTCAAGGGCTGGGGATTTAGCTCAGTGGTTCCGGCGCCTGCTGCACAAGCGCAAGTTCGATCCCCGGTACCAAAAACAAACAAACAAAAAAACAAAACAAAAAAAACAAATAAAATATTTCTTTCAAGATCAGGATCAAAACAATCCATTGTTACTCTTTCTTTTCAATATTTTCCTGAAGCTCCTGCCCAGTAAAGAGAAGAAAAAGTTTGAGGGTTAGAAAGGAAGAAATAAACACATTAAAAAAAAAGAGAAATAAACACATTATTTATTGATGCTATGATCGTACACATATAAAACTCAAAATAATCTATAGAAAAACTATGAAAATCAATATGAGAGTTTGGCTAGGGATAGTACAAAATCAACGAACAAATGCCAACTGCTTTCTTATGGATCAGCAAAAGTAGTTAGAAAATACAATTTTGAAAAAAATAACATTTGTTGTAGCAGCAAAAGTACAGAGTAGCAGGGAGAAATGCTGCCAAATGAGCAAGCTCTTTATGTGTAGGTTGACAATAAGGAAGGAGTAGATAAAGGAAAGGATGTATCATATTTACAGATGGAAATACTGGGTGTCAGTCACTGCTAAGTTGATTAATTTGTTTTGAATCAAGGTCCTAAAGACCTGCCTTCCCTGCCTAGAAATTGACAAATTCCTCTTAAAAGAAGAAGAAAAGCAAAGAGTACAGAATAGTCTAAAGACTCTTGAGGAAGAGCACTAGTTTGTTATATCAAAACTCACTATAAAGCTATTGGAGGGCCGGGTATTTAGTTCAGTGGCACCGCGCCTGCCTCGAAACTGCAAGGTCCTGAGTTTAATCCCAGTTACTAGAAAATAATAATAATAATAATAATAAAGCTACTGGGTAAAGGCGGTTGGTGTTGGCACAAGGTTAGACGGATCAGTGGAAAAGAATAGGAAAACTAGGAACAGGAAAACTAGGAACAGGTCAATGCAGTTATATAACATTTACTTATGACTTAGGCACTGCAGATGGGTGAAAAAAACACTGGATTACTCAATAAATGCTATTAAACCAATGAGCCACCTAACAGAAAAAAAAAATTGAAAGCTAGGTGTGATGATGCATATCTGTAATCCCAGCACCCTGGGGGTCACAAGTTCAAGGCCAGCCTGGGCAATTTATCAGTTTAGTGAGACCCCATCTCAAACTTTTAAAAAAAAATTTATTTAAAGGGCTGGGGTGCAGCTCAGTGCAAAGACTCTGGGTTTGATCCTCTGTTCTCCCCCCTCCATGCCTGTAATCTCATCATTCTTGCAGGCTGAGGCAGGAAGACCACAACTTCAAGCACAGCCTGAGCAGTTTAGTAATTTAGCAAGACCCTGTCTCTAAAAATACAGAAAATATATGTAAAATAAAGAAGGGCTGGGGGTACAGCTCAGTGCAAAGGCACTAGGTTCAATTCCTCAGTACTGCAAATAAAGGAAATAAAAATAAAATTAAGAAAAGGATGTAGCTCAGTGTACAGGCCCTGGGTTCAATCCTCAGTATGGAAAAGAATAAAAGGACTGAATTGAATTGCTCTCTTCCACATTAAAAGAAATCTATTCTGATGATATAATGACATCAACTTAAAAGGCAAAACTATGAAAAAATTAGAAGACAATTAGGAAAATGTATTTATGACCTCAGGGTAAGTACAGATTTTTGTTTAGAAGAAATAAGAAGCGCTAACTCTGAAGGAAAATAACGATAAAACTACACTGAAAATAAAAATGTTTGCTCATGGGAAGATGAGAAAGTAAAAAACAAATTCCATACACTGGGAGAAGACATTTGCAATATAATTACCGATGAATTATTAATATACAAAATATATAAATTAAACAAAGAAAACAACAAGCCATTAAAAACATGCAAATGCATGGACAGGCACTTCACAGAAAAGAAAACACAAATGACTCCTCAATATGTAAAAATGTGCATAGTCTCAATGATCAAAGCAATAAAAATTAAACTGTGAATGGGACACTACTTCATACTCACCAGAAACTTAAAAGTCTGGGGTTGGGGATTTAGATCAGTGGTCCCGCTGCCTGCCTCAGAAGCACAAGGTCCCGAGTTCAATCCCTGGTACCAAAAAAAAAAACAAAAAAGAAGAAGCTTAAAAGTCTAACTAACAATATTAAGCATTGGAGAGAAACAGCAGCTTTCAGTCTGGAAGATAATCTGGCAGTACTGCTGCACCTGACCCAGACGGCCTCCCGCAAGGGACGCACCCTAAGATAGTGCACTGGAGACCTGGCCAAGTTCATGCAGCCTGCTTCATCACCGCAGGGCTCTAGACACAACCCGGCTGGTGCTAAGGGAGGGTGCCCATCACACGATGGTCATGCATGTCACACAGAACACAACACACATCCACATGCTTGAATATGCTGTTACATGTGAATACATATTGAATACATATTACATGCTGTAATACACTGTTCAGTGGGGGAAGCTTCGCATACACCTTGTGCCATACTATTTCATTTCCATGAAGTATAAAATAGGCAAAACTATGTTGCTTGGGGATGTGCACTTACTGGATAAAATAAAGTTAAAAAAAGAAAAAGGATGATTGATGTGAAATTCAGCAAAGAGAAGGAAGGAGAGCTATTGAGAAGGAAGCTTACTTAGAAACACAGTTTCTTAGTTATTGTTTGAAACAGCTGCAAATATCTGTGTCTTGATGGGGAGGAGGTACTTAGGTGGCTGTGATTAATTTTTTGGTCCTTGAATTTTTCTTTTCTTTTTGAGGTGGGGGTCTTACTATGCTGCCCAGGGTGGCCCCACACTCCTGGGCTCAAGTCATTATTCTGTCTCAGCCTCCTGAGTAGCTGGATCTACAAGTGGGTACCACTGAGATGGCTTCTATTATTATGATTCTTTAAACTTTATATATAGTTATATATAACTACATATTCAAATATATATATTTATATAAAATAAAAATGAGCTGGCCACAGTTGCATATGCCTGCAATCCCAATCCCAACACTCTACGAAGCTGAGGAAGGAAGATCACATATTCAAGCCTGGGCTAAGTGACTTAGTAAAACTCTACCTCAATATAAAAGATAAAAAGGGCCTGGAGATGTAGCTCAGTGTAAAGGCCCTAAGTTCAATTCCCACTACCAAAAAAGAGGAGCAACAGGAGGAAGAAGAGGAGGAGGAGGAAGAAGAGGAGGAGGAGGCAGATACACTAAAAGAAGATGTTAAGAAAACACAGGGAGAAGGCAGCCGTCTACACACCAAGGAGAGGCTGGGGCCAGAGCAAAAGGGTTGCAGAGGATCCCAGAAGGTGCTTATCCTAAGAGTGGTGGACAGAAAGGGGAGTAGTACAATGTTCTGAAGTTGAAGATGGTATTGAAAAAGAAGTGGGGAGCTGCCTGGATTCAAGGTTACGTTTGCAAATGTGTACTGTGAGGCAGAGGAGGGGAGACTCAGGAGCCGGTTAGTTATGATGGAGCAACTGGAGGCGTGGTGGGGCCACTGACCGGGGTCTGCAGGCACAGAGAGGATCCACCCGAGGGAAGGCATGGTAGGGGACTAGGGTTCTGTTCCACCGTTTCAAATGCATTTCCAAGTGTTAGCTTTCAAGTGCATTTTCTGCATCCAGGAGGCAAAGTCTCCAGAGAAGTTGGAAAAGGTGTCTGGGGATCGTCAGAAAGCTGGGGGCCGAATGATCATGGCCCTCCCCTCCCCACTTATCTGTCCTCCTGGCAGAGAGGACACAATGCTTAATCCAAGTGCTGGGAAGATGTTATCTAGGCAGCTGGAGAGACATCATGGGTCGACCCTGCACAACTCGGAAATGCAGTGACTCCTCAGATTACGGCCTCCCAGCCAAGTGACGCAGAAAGGGTCGCCAGAAAGGTAGGAAGATCAGAGTGTGGTGTTTGGGGGATGGACAGAATAAACACTTCACTGGGGAGCAATGGCGTCAGGTGTTTCCGAAGGGTCAAGATAGGAGAGAACAGGGTTGTGAGTGTTGTACTTGGAAATGACAAGAGGAACTTCCGTAGAACGGCGGAGACAGGATCATGATTTGAGAAGGTTTATGAGAAATGGGAAGTGCGCTATGATGGCCCAGGCCCGTAATCCCAGCACTCTGGGAGGCCGAGGCAGGAAGGTCATAAGGTAGAACCGAGACTGAGCAACTTAGCAATTTAGCGAGATTCTGTCTCAAACCTCAAAAAAGGGTGAGGGATGTAGCTCAGTGCAAAAGCCCTGGTTTCAGCCTCCAGTATTGAAAAAAAAGAAGAAGAAAAAGAAAAAGAAAAAGTACTGGAAAGTGACAGAAGGTGGTTCCAGCCAAATCCATTACAAAGTTTTCTCAAAGTTCACAGAGAAATGAGAACGCTCTCTGCAGGGTGCTGTACGGAACAGCAGAGGCACTTGGTCACTTATGTTTTGTTCAAGATAGGAAGGTCCGGAACTTGTTTGTGTGCTAAAGGAATGATTCAACAGAGAGGGAAATACCAGTTAAAGTTTAGGGACCCAGAGCTGGGGATATAGCTCAGTGGTTTTGCCACCTGCAGTGTAAGCGCAAGGACCCGAGTTTGATCCCCGGTACCAAAAAAAAAAAAATTTAAAGTACATATTACTAATAGTAGTCATAATGACAATGGGGCCACCATTTTTTGAAGCACCTTGTACAATCCAAGTCCTCTATTTTATTTACTCCTCACAGAGTCAACACCCAGATGAAAAACTACGTACTGTACCTTATGTTTACAGATATTTAACATATGAGGAAGTTGAGGCTTTGAGTTTCTTACTCCTAATTAACAGGAGACAGTTCTAGAGACCACATCCAGTGGGGCGGGGCCTCAGGGCACTGTGGCTAGCGATGCTCAAGGTCAGGTGGAGGCCAGTGCTGGCTTCGGCACCCTGCTCCGGCCTGGAACCTGGGCTCACTGTGTAGCATGCCTGCCTGGAGAGCAGGAGCTGCCACACTCTGCTGCTAAGGGGTGGCTTCACTCATTCCTGTTGGGAATTACTGAGTTTTACTGCCATGACTAAAAGGAGTTACCATTTGCTGTGTTCACACACCACCCTTGCCTGGAACAGTCCAGGGGCATGACTCTGATCTGCTCAGGACAAGCTCTGTCAAGCTATGTTTCAGGGTATTTATATTTTCTCAAGGCTCTTTATTTGGAGGTCACAAATCACTGTGTGTTTGTATCGTCATCTGCTTGAGAACACAAAATGAGCTTTTTGCTCCTTTTTTTTTTTTTTGAGGTGCTGGAGACTGAACCAGGGTCTTCATGTTGAGACACCTCCCCAGCCATTATTATTATTATTATTATTATTATTATTATTACAGTTATGTTAAATTTTGAGTTTTGACACAGGGTCTCACTAAATTGCTAAGTTGCTCCACCTCAGCTTGAATTTGTGTTCCTCCTGCCTCAGCCTCCTACAATGCTGGGATTACAGGTGTGCACCACCACACCTGACTTATTTTTTACACTTTCATATACTTTATACTTCTCTGAGAGCTAAGTATGCAGAAAAGATGCACAAGAGCGGCAGTGTTGTCTGATTGATGAAAAATGTGGAAAGCTGAGATTCTTGCTGAGCTACTCCTTCTCCAAGCCATGAAGAGCTGCAGGCGTGGGGATTTTATTTGACTGGGCCCTTGGAGGAAAAAGTCTTCCTTGCATTTCTAACATCAACCTGGGAGGTGATCAACTGCTAAACACGAACAGCACACTATTCCTTGTGTAGGGCACCCTTATAACCTGAGGATTAAAAGCACCTTCAGACCTTAATGTCAAGTGAAATTATTCAGACACAAAAGCTTAAATATCACACAGTTCGTCTTATATGAGAAACTCGATATATAAATAAAGAGCAAAATAAAAGACAGGTAATTGAAAGGGAGATAGATCTTTCTCAGACAGAAAGGTGACCAAGGAATGGAGAAAGGATGGAAGGGAGGAGAGAGAGAGGAGGCAAAAAAAAGAACTGAGGTGTGTTGTGTGGGAATGCAAATGTTATGTACTGCAAACATGGAATAATAAGAAATAAAAATTGAAGAAAAAAAAGTAAGCTGGTTTACTTCCAGTGGAAAATAGACTTTCACGTTAACTAAACATTTCAAAAGTTTGGAATTTACCTAGAAAAAAATTAAACTTAAAATGTGTATAACTTTAAAATTTTTTAAATGTAAGATTTATGCTCTATCATATTACAAACACAGTTTTAGAATAAGCCAAGGATACATGAATTATTTATTCAAAGATGGTTCAACTTTACCGGCACAGCTATATAGTAGAGATTTTGTTTCTCATTGCTTTTGCTTCATGGCTGACTTTACAATAAAAAGAATATTATTTATAAAACTATCCTCTAGCTTGATCAGTTTTCCCAGGGCCTTTTTTAATCCTTTGATGTTCAAATCACTCCTCTGTAGCATCTATCTCGAATCACTGTTCTCAACAACCCCTTGCCCTGGCTGGGGCTGGGGCCCAGGGCCAAGCATGCTGGGCAAGCACTGAGCTACCACTGCCCTACACCAGGCCTAATTCTGTGACACCTACAGGTCCTGCCTGGTCAGCAGCTCTGCCTCCCTGACCCCATTCCACCTATTTTATGAGACTGCAATTCCCCTTGTTCATATTTGCACGGGACATTCACAGTCTCCGGCCAGAGGGCTGATGAATGATTATGACATCCATGAGCTGCACGTGATAGAGAATGAACATCATGCAAGAGATGATGTTATGATGACTATGATGACTACGAATGGTGCTTCATTAGTGCTTTTCACATGTTTTCCTCCCTGGGGGATGTACTTGGGACATAAGATAGTAACTTTTGCTCACCCCTATTGGAAGTAGCAGAGGTAGAAGAGGAAAGAGGAAGGAATTAGAGTGACTTGGTGAAAGTATTTGTTCTTGCTTTTCTTATTATTCCCAGTTACTAGCATCTCCACCCACCTTGTCTCCCCAAACCCCAAGCACTGAGAAGGAAAGGAAAACAGGAAGAGGTGGGAAAGAAGAGAGCTTTTCTGAGAAGCATTTAGACCATTTAACAATGAGATGGATTTAGGACTGGAGAAAAGATAAGAGGATGACA